TCAGTTGTAGTAATTCTTGAATATTTCAAGATGAAGATCAAAGAACTGCATTCAATATTTCACGGTCGGGTGTAATATAATGGTTAGCGTGCCTGCGCTAAGAATCCGTCGGTTTACGGCTCACGCACGTCCCGCTGCTACAAAATCGAGCGCCACAGTTTGGTACCATGGTTGCGCTATCAGTGACGGCCAAATCCCTCTATTCGAGCAAAATCCACCAAACACTTGGCATTGGGTGCTGTAGATTAGCTAGCTGCCTTCCCTCTAGTGTATCAGTTTAAAATTAGTGGTGGTTATGCACAGGTAGTCCTTGTGTAACAATGCGCGGTAATAAAAACAAAACAAAAAGCTTTTCTTTCACAACATTATGTATTAAACGTTTTATATATTTAACATCGTGACTAGCAGTAACTTTGAGTAATTTTGTAACTACTGAGTTTGTGTTTTTATTGTGATTTCAGTTTTACGCACCATGTATTTCACGTTAAACATAGTGACTTACAAACAGGTTGTGATCCTCCTATCTCACTATCTTATATAAATAAACTAGAACGTTACCTAGAAAAAGTAACGGAAACATAGAACACACAAAACAAGTTGCATACCTTATTTTGATCGAATACTTGCATATTCTTGCCAGTTTTGAAGTAATTCCATGTAGCCAATTCTGAGAGTCCTCCAAACAACCCTTGATCCTCCAAATATGGACAAATTTTAAAGTTTTAAAAATTCAATAAATATATAATTATTTTCAACAACCATTTACATGAACTTGCCATTTTGCCTTGTCAATTCTTGAGATCACCTCAAATCTTCTTGATCTCTCACTTAGACATTTCAGTTTGTAAATCTTCAAAATCTTAATTTAGATTTTTGTTTTGAAAAGTTCTAATGTCAATATTTAGGTGTATCAGCATACTCAAACCTGAGAGCCATCAAGACTTTTTGATTCCCTATTTTTGTTACCCCTACACGACTGTTTCTCTGTATATCTTCTGCGGATTCAAGAGCGTACATACAGAATTTCAAATCGCTTCATCAAAAATTGTTAGGAGAGTTTAAAGATCAAATAAACACAGAGACATACCTGATAATTTCTAATGGATGATATGATATTCAAGGTAATGGAATATGAGGGATGGATATAGGTAACTTTTACTTTTCTTGAATAACTTTTCGTATAATCTTTACTAGAGGCAGAGTGATTTCTAGTGTACACATTAACTATTTGATGACTGCCGGCGACACTTTGATAGGATAAAACCTAGATGAAATACACAAAGACGCTGTGGTCAGTCCTGATGATACAGAAGGGCACTCTATTGAGATTTACCCCTAAGAACATTGTTGACAGAAGCTTGTGGTGACATAAAAGGTTATTTTCAGTTTCTGTCACTATTATGTACACAAAAATTCAGAATAATGGAAGATGATCCATCGCTGTAGATAATGGAATATTCACACCAAAGACAAAGTTATTTTCAGCAAAACACTCAAACATTGTAGCAGGATAGACTCCTGTTTCCTACATTGACTCTATCTACTTGTTAGTATAGAAACCGAGGCTAGCAGCAAAACACTCAAACATTGTAGCAGGATAGACTCCTGTTTCCTACATTGACTCTATCTACTTGTTAGTATAGAAACCGAGGCTAGCAGCAAAACACTCAAACATTGTAGCAGGATAGACTCCTGTTTCCTACATTGACTCTATCTACTTGTTAGTATAGAAACCGAGGCTAGAAACTTCTCGTGGCGACCAGGAACGAAACTTAATCTTGATGTACACTTTGTATTTAAGATAATTTAATCACGTATCGCAATTAGACATTGTTTTATTTTCCATTTGCCTGATAATCATACTTCCAAAAAGAATAAACTATTCTGTTATATATAATCATTATGACTGGCCTTCACGAATGGTAAAAAATCTAAGCTCTAAAATTATCTTGTAATACGATGTGAACAATAAACAGAAAATAAATTTGTATGATAAAGTATAGATAAAAAAAGTGTTTGTACCATGAGGTGAAAACGATACACCAAAGATCTTGGTATAGTAGGGTGAAACCAGCAAACTAAATACATTTCTATCACAAAATAAAGATTATAGATAAAAAAAAATTGCATTATGTTGGTGAGAACTATACACTTCATGCATTTGCATCATAACGTACAATTAAACACCAAACATAGATGTATCACGAGGTGAAACTGTACATCAAATATTTATGTATCAAAAGGTAAGAAGTATGTAAAAAGTAAAATACACAAAAATATAGAAAATAACTTCTTTAGACGAGTAAGTAAAATTATATACGTTTACCCTCGCGACATAATTTGCAATCTTCTACATTTCCTTTGAATTAGGAATGAAGCTGCGAACTTTATTACATTTTTCACTACGTTCAAAGTTTTTACATTTTGATATACTGATAATAACATGATTGACGTTAATAGAATCGCCTCTATTTTGTTTTTGTTTTTTCATTTCCAACAGAAAAAAATGGTTGAGGCCGTAAAATTTTAAGAGTACAAAATCAATTTTAAAGTTAAACGTGATATTTGCTATAGCTAAACTCTTAGTAATTCTTGGGGAAAAAAAAAGGTTATGTTTTCTAAAATGCCACAAGATGCATTGACAGTGAAATATTCTGAAGATTTGAAACAAGACCAGAACATTCCCTAATAATATTTACATTATGTGTAAAGGCAGTTAAGAAAACATAATCAAAGGTTTGATAAAAGTCACATGTTATTTCCAACAGAAAACAAAGAACCTAGTTTTAACGTGTAGTATGACGTAACTTACAAAACAAAACAAAACAAAAAAAGCTTTCAGTCCATTGCATATGATTAACGTTTGACTGCGGATATTTTCATCACACTCAATTTCATCAAGTGGCGGCGGGTGTCGATCAAGAGACGAAAGAAATGCTTATACATTTTCTACAACTTCCATTTTTAAAGCATTTGGTTCAAGTTTGTTAAGCACAAACTGCACAATGGGCTATCTTTGCTCTTCTCATTGCGGGTATTGAAATACGATGTTAGCGTTAATTTTCTTAAAATCTAATACTCTAAGTGAAATCGAACTCTGGATTGAAATTGCTAATGAGATAACTGATAAAATTTTTAAATCAGCCATGTTTTTAATTTATACTTTTTACTCCGCCTAAGGTTACATTTGTGTGTGTTGTAGTATCTGTTGATTACTTTTTTAAATATTTCAAAGATAAAACACTAAGTAGCACATTATAATACTTCCATCAATAGATATTAATTTCATTATTTTATCCATTTTATAACCCTTCCTAGAAAAGCTTAGTTATTTGAGTTATATTCTGAGTATTCACTGTCTTCTACAGATAATTTAGCAAACGCAAAAAGTCACGTATTGGTTGCTCTCCAACTTATCAAATTTAAAAAACCTCCATCTTAGCTTGTCTACTGTTAAGCAAAAATTTACATGATGGGCTATTTGCGTTCTTCCCATCGCGGGTAGCGAAACCCGATTTTTATCTCAGTATAACCGTTACAACTCGTTAGAAGCTTCCCCGGTCATTGTAAAGATTAGAAAAACAAGCTAACCTGTAGAGTATGATATGCTTAAACGATTACTTCAGTTAAAAAAGAAGCATTTAACCGTTGTTTGGCATAGGTATAGTGTATCATTGTTAAAAAATAAATGTGCGAAAGAAAAAAAATAACATAAGGGTGGAAGTCCAAGGAATCAAACAACTTTGCACAACACTGTTACCTGGTGTCAAAAATTAACATAAAAATCCGAAAAAAATTAAGTTGTATTGATCACAGACATTAAGCTCAGAAAAATAAATGTATGAAAGATCAGAAATACGGTTTTTATATACTGCAGTAAAAACAAATCACAAATTATTTATGAATATATTTTTACATTTATCGTAAATCGCAAGTCTTTCAAAAATCCTCATGATTTCACATCAGAATTAAGGGTAAAATTTATTATATGTAAAATTCCAAGTCATACATATGCCATTTTACTTCAGAATCGTTCATTTCAATATTATATTAGTTAAATATAATCACTAAGATAGAACATAATCCTTGTATTAAGGTAATTCCAAACTTTTAGTTTTTGTTGTTTCAAGAATTTTAAATCTTTAGAAGTTTATCACATTTTGCTAAATATGTCCTTAACAATACTGGCATTAAAACCTCAAACTCCTGTCGTTTCATTTACACTTCTTATAAGTTTCAGTTAGAAATAACCACAGTTTGCCTAATCAAGCAATGATAAAATATTATATCCTCAAACTCATTAAGCGATGTTCACAGTAGAAATATTATTATACAATGGAAAGATCAGACTGACCAGCATTATACTTAGAAGTCACTAATTTGGTTGTTATGAATGTATGTATGTGTGTATGTGCCTGTTTGGGCGTAAGTACTTGTCTGTTGTAAACAAGAGACGTACAGTTAACTGAACCATAAGATAAACACACATTTTTAACATGAAATAAATTGTCAATATAAATAAGAGAATTACGGATATAAATAGATATATTTAATGCGGAATTTTTTAAAAATTAAATAGGCATCATTTTGTTGATAAAATGTTCTGGCAGCTTCAACTTGACTCTCTACCTCCCTATCAGCAAAACTCTGAATATCCGTCGTTGGTGTGAGAAGCAAGTAAAAATGGACAAAAGCTGATACAACTTTAGTTTCATGAAAACCTGTAATTTATCTCAATATGTGTATATAAAGAGACAGAGAAGTAGTTGTCATTTTATCCTAAACACGAGTCATACAAACACACAATAATCTTAGCACAAGATACTTCCCTTCTTGACTGAATAACCCAGTTCCAAAATCTGTAAATTTAAGTGAGCCCACCTATTTTGATAAATTAATTTCTAAAATATCATTTTTCATGTCTATGCAGCATGTTTTTTTACAGTTTCAGACACGTGGAAACTTTTATAATAAATATGATTAAAGTAGACGCTACTTACACATATTTTCTCCGAGTAACCAGACTTCAGGTTTTGTGTGAAGTTCTATAAGTATGGGTGGAGTACAGACCAACAAGACTAGCAGGTCGGCAACACTCAGATTCATCAAGAAAATGTTGGTGGAATTACGTAATTCTTTTGTCCGGCACACTACGATCGGAATAAGAACGTTACCTGTTGCTCCAACCGCTAAGATGATGCTCAAAATAACAGTTGTCATATTTTTGATGGTGCTAGGAAATTCTAAAACAACTTCTTCATTCATCTTTATGGAAATAGAGGAACAGTTAGGAGTCAGACTGGAACCATATTCATCATCTAAGTGGGCGCAGTCCGAAATGTTAACAAAAGATGACTTCAACATCGTCTTTGACTCTAGGTTTCTTAAAATAACGGCATAGTATTTCTTCAGAGTTTTCTCGATTCTTACACTAGTAAGTGGAATTGAAATCAGGATAGGTTTTTTCCAAAGGCAAATAAAGACTGATGTTATAATTTGTACGTTTAATTAGCCTTTCTTCATCAACAGTGAACTATTACTAAGTTCACAAGTCTCTTGAGCAAAACTGCATCACTAAGAAACAAGTTATCTAAGAATATAAAGCTCTCATTTATATTAGTTTTACTCGATAGTGTTTTATTTTATTTGTTAATTTCCGTCTATTATGCTAAAGAGCAGCCTAATTCAACGTATTGTTGTGCATCGCCGTGTCGATCTTCAGCTGTCGTCGCTTCCACTTCACTCCCTCGTTACTTATTACTCGCTTTCTTTAAGCAAACCAAAGTACCAACCGTCAAGTACTGCTCAGAGCTCCCTCTGGTGAAGAATCTAGCTATTGATCTTGTGGTCAGTGGTTAACTTTATGTACGAAGGGTCTACTCTGTAATACAACTTTAATGCGAACCTATAAGAGCCAATGACGAACCAGCATCTTAAAACACGTCATAAAGCTGGCAATTTTGTCACAACTACATGAAACAGACCGAGTTATATAAGAAATTTCATTGACGTACTAAATGCAAAAACGTTGAACTACGAAATATAAACAAGCGTGATTGAACTACTTTCCAAAATAAAATTTTGTGTATATTAACATCTAAATATTTCAACTTAAAGAAGTACTATTAGAATTGTGACACTTGGCAAAATTCATGCTGAAACTATTTATCTATGAGTTTCACATCTCGATCTGCAATATATATATATATCTACCAACCAAAATAAACATCTCACTTATTATATAATTAAATAATAATAATGGGTTTTAAACAAATGCGTTACTTCTTAACACTAACATCATTTAATACAAAATAGTGAGTTCTAAGTAAAAAGGACTTTCACTGAACACGGACAAGTATATATCTAGGCAGATTAATAGTGGAAACGTTCATCGAAATATTTTTATTTCAAAAAACAGCTAGATAGATTAACCTGTACCTAACGTTTTACACTCGCCAACTGTCTTGTCTATTCGTTCTGTATTATTTTGCTTTTCAGCAAAACTTGTCGTATGTACAAAAATACTATTCAGATGAAACCTTAGCTTTTTGTGTCAAGTAGCTGTTACATAAAAAAGAAAAGCTATATTTCTGTTTAATATATCATTATTGAAAAAAGAGTAAAATGATAAAATACAAAATTTCCAAAATTTTTAAATTTCAAAGTATAATATATTATGTTTTCAAAAAATTAAAATAAGTTGATGTAAAAAGCTACCGATTCTCTAAGTAAATCATTTTAGGCGCTTCACGCCTTTCTTTGCAAATGCTAAAATCAGGTGCTCGATTCTCCTCGGTGGACACAGCAGGTAGCCTGATGTGCCTTTGCTATAAGAAAACACACACACACTTCTTTGTAAACGTTAAAATAATTTGTTTTGTCCCTGATTTTCAGTTTGAGGTATCATGAGAGGCTCGTGGGATAATCTGTAATTTGGTATCAATAACATTGCAAAGCTAAGCCGTATTTAGTCTCGTTTCCGACTTCTAAGGATATTTCTCCTTTACTTAGTTTGGCTGAAGGATTTTCAGTAATTTGTTCTTTTCCTGCTCTGGAGATCATCAATCACGTCCACGAGAGCCAAGCGACTGAACGTGATATATCACTCACGTGAGACCATTTGTTTGTTAATTTTGTAACAAACTAGGTCTTGACGTCATTCCCGCGAATATCAGTAGCCAATAACAAAAGGATTAACAATGTGGCCTGTGAGCTCCACAGGCAGGACAGACACAAGGACACACCTGGTTAAGACATGTAAACTTGATAGGGAAGAATTAATTACCGTAATGATTACCATAACGAATGTAAATTACAACGACGCTGATTACCATAAGCACGAGTAGAAAAATAATACATTTTTTTATCATTATAATAAACACTTCAGAAAAAAATTAAACCGTCAACAAAGACTTATCTGAATTGAATAGGTAGACTGAACCACTCATCAGAGTTTTATAATATTGCTTGAAAATTACACGATCATTTGTGTATGTATCATTCACACAAGACATCTGGGTCTTTCACTTCTCAATTGTATGTATTCTTCAATCCATCTGTTATATAAGTCCCCCAAAACGTAAACTCTTTGTTTTAGTTGCGTTCTTTAATATATTCCATATCAATTTCTCATCGGTTTCTTGTTCACGTTCTCACACGTATGTCTTATCAAACTTATCTTAGTATTTTTGCTTTCCCATCTCACGTTTCCTAACAAATTATAAGTTCTTTCTGATGTTGTTGATATACCAGTTTAATGTATTTATTTCTACATGTATTTACCACACTGAACTCATGTAATTGTCTGGTTTATCCATATTATATATACTCTCACCTATCTCGTATTAAGTATAAAAATTCTAAGTGTAATACACCATCCTGTGAAGTTAGAATTTTCAAGAAGTTAAAATTAGCTGTTATTAAGTCACCTCTGTGTTTTAAGTTTCCATATCTTATGTACTTTCAATTCTATATCTTACTAAGCCTACTTCGGTAACGTAATTTCCATATTTTATGTATTTTCAGGCCTTTCACTGTTTAAGTCCATACAGTGTCCTAAATTCTCCATGCTGTATCTATTCTCAAGTTTATATCTTAAGTCTATTTCTTAACGCGTTATTTTGTACTCATTTGATAATAGTTATAAAAGGCACGTGATGTTTATTTTTATTTGCATTCTAAATCAATAAAATCGTGATTAATGCTGTTTCATCAAATATAATGAAGAAAAACCTGGAAAAAATCCAGAAAGGGAAGTGTTTGATTTGTGGTCAAAAAACTTTTTATATTTCATTATTCATTAAACTTATTATTTATAACATAAGTTTAAAATGTCTTAGATTTTATTAAGTTAATTTCACTCTGAAATTCCTTTGTTCGAAAATAATTATTTGCCAATGAATTTAGGGTGCAATAAAAAAATTCAGAATGAGCTATGTATGTATAGCAATCATATATATATATATACGGTGTTTAGTTGTAAAAACCTATGATGTGGGAAACAAATATGTTCCTGTAGTCGCAATCATATATATATATATACGGTGTTTAGTTAGTAAAAACCTATGATGTGGGAAACAAATATGTTCCTGTAGTCGCAATCATATATATATATATATATATATACGGTGTTTAGTTGTAAAAACCTATGATGTGGGAAACAAATATGTTCCTGTAGTCATGTTCTCTTAATACGTTGATCAAGAATTCATATATTTTAGACCAGCGTTTCTCAACATTTTCGATATCAGGGACCAGCTCGCTGCTTTCCTAAACTGTCGTGGACCACTAAAATGCAAGTATAACGAAAAACCTTTACGATATACATATGAATACTCTATCATTTCTATTTGTTTGTTTCCGTGAAATCCCAAGGTGGTTGTGACGGACCGGTGGTTGAGAAACATTGGTCTAGACAACATGAAAAAAACCTAATCAGAAATTAACTACGTCACACGAGAATATCCGTGACGTTAAGTATAGTTTGCAAGTAAGAGTTAACTGTTGTAAGTCACGATCATGATTACCCAAAGGCTGGGACTCTAGTACGGAACTGAAAAATAATCATCAAAAATTCAAAACTTGTGCTACGTAATTCCGGACTGTCACATGTGACAACGAAAGCACAGTTATATAGGAACAATACATATATATAGAAATAGATATGAACGCAAATAGATATACATGTATATATCTGTACGCACGCACTCTCGCTCATGCTTATATATATCATTAAATACAGTAGTTCTTAATAATAGGGATGGTGATGAAACAAAATGGCGGCCATAATAATCGCCCGTTTAAAACTACTTTTAAAATGTCTGAGTGTTAACAACTACTATTTAACAGTATTGGCTGAGCTAAACTAAAGCTTACTTTACTTATAAAGCCGGCAGACTTGCTATATACGTAATTATGGAGTGAATCAAAATTTCACTATTTCAACGAATTTTCATCTAAGTAAGTGACTTTTCTAGACAAGCGTACATATAAAATGAACCTTAATGCTCTAATTTTTTTTTCACAGAACTCTTCCGTCTGGGGTCCCAATGATTCCTTCCTTGTACTCAAAAGGATACTAGTATATATATATAATTAAATTTGCGAGTAGGCTGATAGAGATCCTGATGAGTAATAAAAATTGAATCGGGTATACGCGTTCCCCTCTCTTGATATTGCTGGCGCACAAAAATATAACTAATAAAAATTAAATAAAAAAGTATGATAAAAAAAATAATTTATCAAAATAAGTAGGTATCGATATATACGTAGCCTAGCTAGCTATAGCAATATATAGTGTTAATGCTACAAAAAGTACTGAAACAAGAAAGTCAAAACCACAAAACTGAGTTTCTTAATTTTTTTACCCTACTACACACTAACATAATTACAGAAATTTCCCAAAGCAGGATTTTTTTTTATTTTAAATAACTCAGTTTTTTTTAGTTTTGAATTTCTTGTTTCAATACTTTTTGTAGCATTAAAACTTTCTATATTACTATAGCTAGCTAGGCTACGTATATATCGATCTCTACTTGTCTTTATATAATTTAAAAATATTTTACACACACACACATATACAAGTTCATTCCTCATCTTACAACATTTATTATTCGCATGTTCACGTGGGGAAAGCACTGATCCGTGGTTAGCGTACCAGAATGTATAACTGTGGTTCACATCCCATTATTGCAAAAACAAAAAAAGAAGGAAAACCGTGCTTTGCATTTTGGGGTCGTGGGTGCATTTGAAGAGTCAAATCCACTATTTAGTCTGACAGGAGTAGCCCAAGGGTTGGCGATGTTGACTAGTTGCTTTCCCTCTTGTCTATCACTTTAAAATTAAGAACGGCTAGCGCAAATATC